AAGAACAATACATTTTATATGTACTATAATACAAATACTATGTAAAGCACAAGTTATAGTATGTTTTTATACACTATATATTATATTTATTAAAACTGATACAAAATTTGTTACAAATATAACGTTGAATGTTTAATTTTGTTGCGCCTTCTGTTCAATTTTGCCATATTCTTCTTTTTCAAGCTGTTCTCGTGTTAATAAGGATAATCCTAATTGATTTTCACGTGTAAATGGTTGGGCCATTTGTCGTAACCAACGTTTACTTATCTAAAAGTTATATCAATAGTTATCAATATTTATTTCCTAAGTTTCATATTTAAAACTTTACCTGTACAGCTTCCTCAGTTGATAAATTACATAAACCATCAGTTAAATGTTCCTGTATCCATTTTGGCAATTTACTTCGCTTATCTATTCTTGAAAATCTCTAAAAATAAATATCGTTGAAAATCTTATTGTTAAACATGAGAATTATTTGTTACTGATAGTTTTCGTTACCTTATCTGCAAATACCATTATACCATAATCAGTTTTTCCTCTAATTGCTCTCCCAACACATTGTGCTGCATGTCTCATCGCATCGAAAGTTAAAAAATCATTTTCTCTAATCTACAAGAAGTGATAAATATATTATTAGTAATATTAATGTCAATATTTATGAACTTAATTTGTACTTTTATCTAAGAACTTACTTGAAATTGATCACGAAGGTATTCTAAACGTGCCTTTAAAATACGGGATTGTGTATATACATAAGGAATTCCGAACATTAAAACAGCTCTTCCTAAATGATGATCAAAATCAACTCCTTCTGATACTTTACCACGTGCTACTGAAAGAAGAACAGCTCCTCTTCCATTTTCACACGCCTTTATGTAATTTATAAGAGCTAAACTTGTTTCTGCAGAATCTTGAGTTTCAATAAATAGTAATTTGTGCCTTTGAAGTTGATCTACTACACCTTGGTCATACCTATAAAATAAGGTATAAGTATGTGATATTGTAGTATAAGTGTGGTATAAGTATGTATACAGTAGTGTATAATTTAGTGGATACAAACCAAGCAGCTACAACAGATTCCATATACAAGTAAGATGTAAAAAAGCAGACTAAACCATCAGGAACAGTAGCTGCGAATTCAACTAACAGTTGACCATAATTTCTTATAACAGCAACATCTTCCCTGGTTTCATACTTTGATGATATAGCGACTTGATCGTTACCTTTTGCTACAATCTAAGATTATTTCAAAATTAATTTTTTCATAAAATTTTCATTTTAAGAGAAATAATATTTACCTACCATAGGTAAAAGACAAGGCCTAGTTAATGTCATAGTAAAAGATGACATTATGACTGGATGAAAATTTAAAATTTTTGGATACATATCTAATGGTGACAATGTGCCTGAAGTAATTACTACTGACTGAAACCTATCAAATACAGGTTTCATTGCAATTGACGAATCTAAACAACTGAAGTGAAGTATTGGATTTAAAACATTAGGTGTTTTGTCATCAAATGGTTCTACTATAATGGTAAATCCTTTTGTATACGTAGAAACTAGTGTTGCAAGATGTGTCACTAATATTATTGGCGAAAAATCGGTTAAATCAGTTATTTCCATAGTACGTAAAAGAGAAGCTAATCTTTCAGCACAAAATCTTAATGGTTTACGTTCTATTGAAACTTTTGATTGAACATCTCTCAAAAATGCAGCAGGAGATTCTTGAACTACATGCTGTACACGTAAACGCGTTTTCAAATATTCTACAAATCGTTTTAAAAAACTAACAAAATGTTCTGCATTTCTTATATTACCAGGAACCACCTCTACAAGAAGATAAATATAAATTAAATTCATAATTATCTTAAATATATTTGAAATTAAGAAATTACCTTGCAAAATTTCATCTGGTAAAATAGGATTAGACAGGATAATATCAGTTTCCCTTGCAACATGTGCATCTTTTAATCCTTCTACTAATCTTTCATATTCTTCTTTCAATTTATTTACATCGTCGTCTCGCATCCTAAATTATAAATATTAATAATGATTATCCATAATATCTAACATGATATTTAGAACACAACTTACTCTGCAACAGTCTTTTCAAGAAGTTGTATATTTGCTGAACTTTTTTCCAAACTTCTTCTATTTATTTTCACACTCATAGAATCAATGCATACATTATCTACAATTAATTAAATAATTATAATTGTATTTCTACATTATATAAGCAATATATTTACTGCATCATACCTATATTGTGAGCTTCATCAAATACTACTACAGAACTTTTGTTTAATTCCTTGGATACCGTTTCTGCAATTTTAGGATCTAATAAATAATGATAACTGTACACTACAATTTGAGCATGTAAAATCTAAAATTATATGAAAAAGTTAATATTTTATTCAATCTAAAAATGCATAACTTGTTTTTCAAAATGCTTACTGTAAACCTTGCAAGAAAATATGGACACCAATTACGGTCTCTTCCATATTCTTTCAAGTCATCAATAGAATATATGCCTGGTGGCATCGTTTGTTCTTTGCCTTCCATGTCAAATCCTTCATAAAAATTACAAATTGGTGTAGACTCATCATAATTATGTCTTTCACGAACATATGATGCTGTCAGAGAATGACAACGTCCATCAACAATTTTACCTTCGCGTTCTCTGCTTACCTGATTCAAATATATTATTAATATAATGATGCACATAGGCATATATTGAAACTGAATAAATTTGGAATTCATTACCTCTGGATGAATACACATATTTTTTCTTGAGCTAAGAACTAAACCAACAATTCTAGGTTTTGTTTCTGTCTCCTTTTCATAATAATCCATCAGTTTTTTTAATTCCTCTATGACTTTTTCTATTTCTGGTACTGTGCGAGAACAATAAATTAATTTTGTAATATCCAATGGATTTTCTAACATATATGCTACAATTAATGATAAAAGAGTTATTGTTTTGCCAGTGCCTGAGGGCATTTCCAATAAACAGTGCCCCTAAAATTGTAAAGAAAATTTAAATTTGGCTTGAAGTTAAAGTGACATAATCATATGACTTTAAAATATCTAAAATAAATACTTTTGCATCCAAGCCTCGTTTGAGTTCAAGCATATAAGCATATTGCTCTGGATAAATATAATCATAAGGAAAATATACAAGTAAACCATCCACACTGATTCTGTAAATATAAACATGTAGTTAAAATTTTTGTTTTAGGAAATTAAAAAACTTTGTCAAATGAACA